TTTTTTTTTGCTTTTGAGCAATACACTCTGCTGTTGCAAACTGACCCCCCCCCCAAAAAAAAAAATAATTACACCCCCTTTTTTTTTGGCAAAATTTTTTTTTCACCCCACCCCTTTTTTTTAGCAAAAAAAAAAAAAAATATTTGAAAAAATTTTACCCTCCCTCCCCCCCCCCCCAATTTTTTTTCACCTCCCCCTCCCCTTTTTCCAAAAAAAAAATCTTTCCCTCAAGATATGGTCTTAATCTCAATTCAAATTCCAATGGAGTTTGCAACCACAATTAATCATTTAAATACATCATAAAAGTCTTAAAATAGAAAATGACATACATAATCATGTCTAAAAATAATTTATCTTTTATCAGCATTTTTATTAGTAATTTCTAAAAATAAATTGACAACTAATAACCTCAAGACAATACAAAATTTCTTTATAAATAATTTTAAAGCAGTGTAAGGGAGGTAGTCCAAATTTAACATTATACTTAAAAGTGATTGTCCATTAACAAGGAAACCCTTGTTTTCCCCCTTTTTTGCCCCTTATTCCTTAAAGGTTTGAGCCATTACCCCCCAAAGCCAATCCTAACCATCCCTTTGTGGTATGGAAACTTCTTGTACGATTTCAGAGAGATCCATACACCGTTCCACAAGTTATTGTCTGAAAACTAGAAAAAAGCTTATTTGGGCCCCTTTTTTGGCCCCTAATTCCTAAACTGTTAGGACCATAACCCCCAAAATCAATCCCAACCTTTCTTTTGTGGTTATAAACCTTGTGTTTAAATTTCATAGATTTCTATTTACTAAAGTTATTGTCCGGAAACCAAGTGTTTTCAGACGACGACAACGACGTGATACCAATATACGACCACAAAATTTTTTTGCGGTCGTATAAAAATGCTAAATATATCCAATGCAGATTTGTCTCAGGTAAGGGATTGGGTTTTGAGCACTTGTTAACATTTCAAACCCTTTCATTTTCTGTATGGGCTTGACCCAAATCGGGAACCACTAATTTGCTGCTGTTAATCATATTTGTTTTTCATCTAAAATTTTTACACAAATGTACAAGGGTAGGAATGCCCTTTTCTGTCAGGCGTCAAACAGTCATTTTCTGAAATGTTTCTTGAAAAATAATATGATTGACAGCAATGAATTACTGGTTCAGTACTCGAGGTTTGTAATGGGGGTACATGTACCTTTATGATGAATAACAGTAAAAAGCTGGACTATTTATTTGTTAAATCCTGTTTTTGATCACTTAAAACTTTGAAACGCAAAGCAATAAAGGTGATCATTGGGGACATTCCGACAATGACTGACATAAAGCATAAAAGATTTTTTTAAAGTCGGGTATACATATAACTCTTTTATGCTTTATGTCAGTCATTGTTTGAATGTCCCCAATGATAACCTTTATTGCCTTACGTTTCAAAGTTTTAAGTGATCAAAAATGGGATTTAACAAATAAATAGTCCAGCTTTCAGTATGAAAACTACATCTTTCGATATGGATTCCGTCAACTGACATTAGTTCGTACATTGATATTTCTGTCAACTGATGGTGCATCGTTTGAAGTGTAAAGCACCAGCAGATCTACGTGTGCGCTTGACTCTTTATTATCGTAATAACATACTGAAATAGTCTAAATATCGTTTTAAAAAAACGCATGTTTTCTAAAACCGGAATATGATTTGATTGCGTTAAAGATCTGAACATAGACGGAACAACTTAATCTGTGTATTTTTGTCAAGCATCATTTAGTTGAAGTCGTACTCTCCGCGTAGATACTTGAAATTAACATAAGATGCCTTGTATGAATTAATGAAAATTCTGTTTATCATTAAATTATTTTGAAACTTTGAGTTTCGGATGCACAATTAAATTTCCCATTTGTGCACATGCGCAGATACGTAACCAATGTAGTTTGGATTAACCAGAATAATCCGGTTGTTTTATTCCGATTACTCCAACGAGAAATCGCAATGGATGGAGGACTTGAATCAATCGAGTTAGTTTCGGATTATAATTAAATTAACGCATGCGTACTACCAAATATACTTTAAATACATCCAGTTACAAGTAAATAAATAACGTACAGGTAAGATGAGATGAAATCTAATAATTAACATAAATAAAAAGGTAGATATTAAAACATTAAAACATGAGAAATGATAACACTAACGATAGTGATTTTTTTTTCAAGCCTAGCTGTACATTTGTTTTATAAAATGATGCAGATGCTGTTTTACAAACTTGAAACCGATCATGTGTAAACATCGTTGTCAAGATATGGCACGGAAGTTATGAAATTGTAAAGCACAGAAAGGGATACAGCAACACTCCTGGTGACAGTTCAATGATTTTACAGCCGGCAGTATAGGATTTCAGAAGACTTTAAAGTCTTCTTCCACCAAAAACTGATAATTTCTGGTCTTTTTGTTAAACACAAACCAATCTGTAGATGAATCGGGATTCATTCTAAATTTATTATCCTCTTATCACTTCCTGTTTTCATTTGTTTTAAAATCGAAAGTAAACGTGATCTATTCTGGATTAATTTAAAATATACAGTCATTTTAATCGTTCCAAGTTAATAAAATTGAATTCCAAATATCTATTTAAAAATTTTTACAGGGATAATGATTATGCAGTGAAATAGTTGTTACAATTTCATTTACGGTGTGATTCCTGGTTTTAAAAATTGGAATGATTGGCTCCCTGCCCTTTTGAAATCCTAGCTGGAACACTGTATTACATATTTATTAGTTACACTACTGCAGATTTTTAGGAAGATAAGCATTTTTTCAGTGGATAAAACAGCTCTAACCCTTTCGTCAACGAATACCAGTTTACCGGGATTCACGCTTCAGACAGCTGACAATGAGTCCCGGTTTACTTGGACTGGAATACCTCTTTTATATTTCCCGCTGAAAAATGTTGTGAACACAAGTTATCTCACTTTGTTTAATGCCCCGATGCTTAATGCTTCTGTTTATTGAAAACCATGTCAAAATCAAATGAAATTTACTGATTTTACTGGAATTTGAAATAAGGGAACATTTATTTTTTTTTAAATTTGGAAGAATTGAAGCCAGTATACTTTTTTGACATAAAATGCCGTTTTATGTACAAAAACATTTGGAATGGACATCATTCAGTGCAAGGTATTGTATAACCTCGCTAAAATTTTCAAGCTTTCGTCGTTTAGGGTTAAAAATTTACAATTTTGGGTCAAAAAGTTGAATTTGGTTAATTTCATCTATTTTAATGCTGAAAATTAGCAGATTTGATTTTATCTGACAAAAAAATTATCAAAACATTAACAAAACTATGTCCATGGTGTAAGTGAATAAAATAAAGACAAAAATAACTACAGACAAGTTTTTATTGATATTTAATATGAAAATCTCCCACGTGTGTCCCAATAGCCAGGGAAGCCATCGTCTCACAGTAGCTTCTGTCACGGCGGCTATCGGTGAAAGGGTTAATAATAGTTATGTTAGTGGGTCACTAATCAGGTTGGGGACAACCCGCCAAATGGGGAACTATTCCCCAAATGAGTATTAATCCCTCATTTGAGTAATCATTTGATAGTGCTAAAAACAAAATTTTCTTAAAATGGGTCTTTATACTTAAAATGGCACAAATTTATAGAAAATGGAATAACTTCTTCCAAGAACTATGTTTTTATTATGGATTTTTAAAAGTCAGTAGGCCAGACTACACGAAATTTGTCGGACCGTCGGACAAATCCGGTGAGTAATGGATCGGTCTGGTAAAATTTTGTTGAATTCCGGTCCGAATGTCCGGTGTGGTTTTTTTTTAAGGAATTTTCTAGCATTCTAACAAAATTCCCAAACGATCTCAAAATTCATTTTCATCTTTATTATTCATGACAGCAATGTTTATTTTGTTCAACCGCTAGCTTTATGCCGAAAATCGCCAACAAGTAATGTGTAAATCCGAGTAAAAACATATCTGACTGACAAAAACGATAGCCACAATGGCTGCCATCAACCGGAAATGTAGGCAATACCGGATCAGATACTGGGAATGGATAAGGCTTATTCCGGGTTTGCCGATCAAATACAATAAATAAATTTAAAAAATCCAAGCAGGTCACAAAATACAGCTATGAAATATAATTAAACACTAGAATTGAAATCCAAAAGATATATAATATGAAAAAGAAAGAAGAAACAGGAAATATTTTATACAGAAACTCTAAATTATTTTTAGTTCACAAGTAATTTTCATGTCATGTGACATTACTTTTCTTTATCACTGAAATGCATTCAAGCAATTGTGCATAACTTTCTTCAAAATATACACTCTTGTCACATGATTTTGTTTTTGTGCATTTTGAAGATGAGTAGGCCCCAACAAGTCATAAGTTTGTTGTATTTTGTCGGATAATATACAATAAGATGTAAAAAAAAAAACTGGTCTGGTAAAATTTCATTCGGTCTGGTAAAGCTAGGTTGTTTACCAGACCGAATGTCCTGTAAAAATAAAATTCATTCGTGTAGTCTGGTAGGCTTGAAGAAGTTTTCATATGGTTGTAACTTCTCAGTATGACTATTCATCTTTTGGAAAATATGCTGCATTTTTTAAAAATTTATATTTTTGGAAACACAAGAAATTACCTTATAAAAACATTATCATTGTAGTATCCCAGTAAACCGGGGATCAATGGATAAAGAAATCTAAGAAGTTGATTTTAATGGTGCCACATCTAAGAAGTTGAATTATCTCCCCTTGATTGTCAACACTTGAATTCACTTTCGTATGTCACAAATCTTTCATTGCTCAAAAATATACTTAAAAGTTTTCGTCATAATCAAATAGTAGTCAACAATATGTGTCGAACCATGTCCGTTTCAATCCTCAATCTTCTAAATTTGAAATAAAGACTGCAATTTTACTTTAAGTGTCAACAACATCACTCGTCGTGTACAGAGGTAAAGGTTTTCGTGTATGTAAAGGATGCAATATACTCACCAAGTGAAACTAATAACAATGTAAATAATGTGCACGACATGATGATACTATTCGTTGTTGCGATAAATATACTATTTCTTGTTCGCTTCCTGTTTCTCTTCAATAATGGCGGTCATTACAAACCTAGCCAGCTCACTTATGTTTTGAAATACAAATATAAAATGTAGTTGTTAGAATTGTTTAATTTTGAAATACTAATAAGCTGACTGTTTATAACATATATCTTAGTGTCCCTTTATAACAAAGCATCTAACGGTGTGGACTTATTTGCTATAGTTCTGAGAACTATTTTATGTCTACCTGAAATTGCGCATTAATATTACCTGTCAAAATACCACAGGTATGCATCAGTTATTGACATGATTTTGCATAAATACGGTGATTAGGTATTACGCATTGGAAATGACTCGTATTATGTTTGTTTGTTTTATCTTTTTTGTCATGAAAATTTTTTTTGCCGACTTAAAATATAAGCAACATTTATGTGGATCTGCCAAGATTGAAAATCACATTTCTCACTGTATATTTTTTGTTACCCGATAGACGCATAAAACTATGGAGATATATACGCCCTGGATTAAATTCGAATTATTAAATGTTAAAAGTGCATACTGTATGCTATATATTGTTTTTGGAATTCAGTTTTACGTGTTTAAGGGTCCATCAGCAAAAATGAACTGTAATGAGTTATTATGAAAAGATATGTTTTCAACTATTTTTTTTTTTTATAGTTATTTTTTAATTATGTTGTGTTGTATCACCACTGTACTAGGTCTGTGGGATGGTAGGCGGCCTCCAAACATGTTTAAACCCACCAAATTCTGCCACGTCTGTGTTTGTCCCATGTCCACAAAGTCGGGAGCTTGGAATTCAGTGCTTGTTAGTTGCTGTATATATCATATTTGAGGGAGGGTCCATCTTTACCATATGAGCGATTCTGGCTCTTATGAACCTCTTGTTTTAAATCTATCCGCCAACCTTTCTAATACTGATCAGTGAACAAATCAAATATTCAATAAAAATAAGTCAGTTCAAGCGCTAAAAAAGTTAAACCAATATAATAACACTGGCCTCAGTTGATTGTATTTTTTCTATATGTTGAACATTCTACATCTGTGCATTGAAAAAAATACCGACGCTGTTAAAAATCACTACCAAAGGCATCTAAAAATACTTTCAAAAATTTCCCGAAAATCTCGAAACAAAACACTTTGAACAATTAACCAAGGGGCATATCAAGATAAATGTTAGATAGCAGGAAATCATGTTTGAATAGGGCATATAATTTTGAGATCATACATAACAATATTAATAAGCAAACGGCCGATGGCGAGAAAATGAACTGAGTAGCACGCATAAGAGATTGTTTTTTTTTATAGGTTAGACAATACTTGCATGGTCATGTTTTATGAAGATAAAAAGCCCAAGGCGTAGCCGAGGGCTTTAAAACTTCATAAAACATGACCAAGTATTGTCTGACCAATTTAGAACATATTCACACTTTCGAGTGACCTAACAAAATTATCCATTCCCATTGTAATATTCAAAATCAAATAAGAATTCACTTTTTATTCAAGGATAAATAGACTATAACCACAGGCACTTGTCTCAGAATTTATTTTTTTTTGAGACAAGTGCCTGTGACTATAACTGTAAAAGTAAAGAGACTGAGCATACACCTCAAGCACGGGGAGAATTTTAATGATGTCGCTAAAAGCAGATTGTATAGAGAATCGCAACAAAATTATCAATACTTTACAAAGGACGAAGTCCTCATTAATGTCGAGGAAAATCATGTTGCGCTTTATGTTTATTCTAGGGTATCATCATATATACGTTATTATGACTGCTTATAGCGAAACATTATTTAAAAATTCCGCTTTTATCAATGCTTGAAACAAATAGAATCGTATTCTAATTTTTATCAAAATCGTAGCTAATGCTTCTTTAATGAAGCGACCTAAACAATAAATGTGTACCATTATAAGGACTGAAATTCAGGAAAAAATAATTGAATTTGTCGCTAGAAAATTTTTCAGACATTTATTATTGCAAAACACATACGGGTTTATTAGTCGATAGCTTATATAATTACTTTCCTAATTTGTTGCTAGAATTGTCCACTAGCTTGATTGGAGTGTGTGAATGAGCTATGCATAAGCTTAGTTATATCTAGAAGAAACTGATATAGTGCGATCCGTTGTAATTATTAGTCAGTGGTTCATTTAGGTGTTTAAAAGCACGTATAAAGTCAACAGGTATCGTAAAAAGATTTAGATTTATTATATATATATTTAAGTGTTTAGTAAAACCGTGGGAATTTGATCAAGAGGGGGTGTTGATAAACGACGGAAACGGAAAGAAATATTGATATGGACGGAATTTGGGGAAAAAATGGCGACAACTACGAAAAACAATAAAGACTGAAATAACAAAATCACACAACAAGTAGGCTAAAAATAGGATAGGCGATATCAAGGAAAATAGGAAACACTTTTGGAAATACATAACAGCAACAAAAAAATGTCGCACATCTAGGTACATAGACGTGAATAGATTTATGACAAAAATCCCTTTTTTGCTGATCTTGCAATGCTGACCATTTTCTGTTTGCAGTTTCTCTCTATCTTCTTTAGTTTTTACCCAAAACACAAACGAGCGTAAATGTCGTTAAAAATGGGCAATTACTCCTAAGAAGAGTCTACTCACTATTTCTGCAAAAGTTTTACTCGTTTGTAGAACCTGTCTTACTAATCAATTTTGTTATTTAAAGTTTCTATCTATATCTTTTATAGTTTTCAAAATAATAGTAAAAACAAAAAAAGTAAAAAACAAAAAAGGTAAAAATCGTAAGAGCAAAAACTCCAATAACTAGTTGACCAGCAGAAAACGACCATGACAGAGCAGAAGCATCCAATGAACAATTCATTAGTGTATCTACTAAGAAGTCATAAACGAAAGATGTACCACTAAAGAAACTATTTTATCCAAAATTGAAAGACATAGAAATGACTTGAGTAGCAGTGAGAAAAAAAATATTACATGGACTCAAATTTAGAAACGATCCTGGTAAACTTATCGACCCTTTAAATAAACTTATTCTAAAAGGTTACCAATTTAACACTGTAATTAGATCTTTGAATATTGTTTTTATTGGTATTAATATTGATTTTGTTATCAGTAAATTAAAAGCAAACTAAATTTTATTGTTATATATATATATATATATATATAGACTTGTTGAAAAAAACGTTCAAACCTATGACTACGTTGGATAAAAACCGCAATTTTTATACGTGTGCATGCAAAACAAATTTCTTGGTAGAAGGGTCAAAATACAGCACAAACAACATTTTCCAAAAGATCAAATGAGTGAAAAAGTATATTTTAACAAAACGCATTTGACTAGCAGGTCGAACAACTGATGTTCTTAAACCCTGCTGACTGCCATTGGCGATTGCCAAATAAACGAATCACAAGATGTAACAAAATAGATCTTATTATTAATTTATTACCAAACAGAAAACAATAAACTTGCGGAAAGATGGTATACCGCAATCATGAGGTGCAAAAATGTGTACACCATATCCGGATTTCGACAATTTATGTCTCTCAGTGATGTTAGGAATCGAAACGGTATTTGGAAGGCCATATAATTTACCTCAATTTAGGATAGACTCTTGAATTTTGAAAGTGTCAAAATAGGATGAACGGATCATATAAACCCGAAGGCAAATATAATACAAGCCCAAACGAAAAAATATAAACAAGTCTAAATTGAAAACAACGTTCAAACCTATGACTACGTTGGATAAAAACCGCAATTTTTATACGTGTGCATGCAAAATAAATTTCTTGGTAGAAGGGTCAAAATACATATATATATATATATTCTTACTTGTGGAACTTGCAAGCTGCAGTATGTTGGTGAAACAGAAACGATATTCAACAACAGACTTAACAATCACCGGTCTTTTCATACAAAAGGAAGAAACTGTCCAATTACGAGACACCTCTTAAGAACAGGGCATACTTTTGAAAATATCACCTTTCAAATAATTGAGGTAAACCAAAATTGGGACGCCCAAAGGAGAAAACAGAGAGAAAGGTTCTGGATGCATCAGCTACGTACTCTTGAACCTGATGGACTTAATGAGAGAGATGAAAAACAGTTCTACCCAAAACCAAAGGAATAAATCCTGAACTTCATTCTATTTAACTAAAACAACTATTTGTTTTGATTTAAGAATTGCTATGTACAATAAGCGGCAAAAATATTTTTCTAGACATCTAACGTTGAGCTGCAAAAATTTCTTTACAACCTCTAACTTTTACCTGGTTGGCTGCACGCGTCTGATGAAGCTAATTTGTTTAGCGAAATATTGCGTGAATAATATAAAATATAACAACTAATTTTATAACACTCATTAGTGTGTTAAAGTTACATTCTTAGGCACTTATATATGTATATATATATATATATGAACAAGTCTAAATTCAAACCTATGATTGCGTTGGATAAAAGCCGCAATTTTTATACGTGTGCATGCAAAACAAATTTCTTGTTAGATGGGTCTAAATACAGCACAAACAACATTTTTCAAAAGACCAAAAAAAGTGAAAAAGTATATTTTAACAAAACGCATTTGACTAACAGGTCGAACAACAAATGTCCTTAAACCCTGCTGACTGCCATTGGCGATTGCCAAATAAACGGATCACTGATGTAATAAATGGATTCTAATTATAAATTTAACACTAAACAGAAAACAATAAACTTGCGGAAAAGATGGTATACCGCAAACAAAAGGTGCAAAGGTTTTTGTACACCATATCCGGATTTCGACAATTAATGTCTCTTCAGTGATGTTCGGAATCGAAACGGTAGTTGGAAAGCCATACAATTTACCTCAATTTAGGATATACTCTTGAATTTTGAGGAGTCAAAATAGGATGAACGGATCATATGAACCCGCAGGCAAATATATATAATACAAGCCCAAACGAAAAAATATAACCAAGTCTAAATTGAAAACAACGTTTAAACCTATGATTGCCTTGGATAAAAACCGCAATTTTTATACGTGTGCATGCAAAACAAATTTCTTGTTAGACGGGTCTAAATACA